ATTTATTATTCATTTTTTTAAAAACAGATGAGAAAGAGTTTTGCTTTTCGTGTGAAGAAAGATGAAACCTTCAATTGTGCCTGATAAGCTCCCACTTTTCAGTTTGTAAGTGGTGGAATGATGAATGAATGGATTAATGTTTTAGTTAAGTTTATTAGTCATTAGTAACACACTGTAAGAAACACTAACAGAATGGACAAGGTGTCTCATCTATGAAATACTATCACTGTAATGTACTTCATACAGTACAAATATTAGAAAACGACCCACTTGCATCTTGAAAGTCCACATCATTGCCATCAAGTGCATTTTTCAGCCTGTTGCTCATGATTTTGAGTTGCATGATCTGCTGCCGGATGGTCATGTCTGGCTTTGTGATATCAAGCTCCACTTCTGGGTTGTTGATCTGATTGGCCAAGCCGTCACCCATCACCTCCGGAAGGTACCTGATGAGATGAAGAATGTGGGTCAACATCATTCAGGCAGTTCTGATTTTAAAAAGACAGCTTTACATAAAATATGTGGTTAATGAAATGGTAGTTTTTTGAAGCACAACTCTTTTGGAATATTTTGTTTACTTGAAAATACATGCCTGCACTCACTCAGTAAAAATGTACAGCTGTGTATAATTTTGTAAATCAGATGTAGCATTTTGTGCTGACATGACAACTGAAGCACACAACACAACAAACGCACACACATACTCGTATTTCTGCAGTTGAGGGTACCCTGTAACATTGCTGGAATCACGATGGACAGTTTTAAAAAAAAATTATCAACACTGATGCCGCAGAACCAGAGATGCTGTCTTTTTATTCCATGCATTGTTTACCTTGTCAAAACCTGGCACCTCCAGTACCCAGAAGTTCGAATGGAGATACATATGTGTTATGCTAGTAGTGGCTAATGTTGCCTTGAGCCGCTAGCCTGAAGCAGAGATGAGAAGCGGGCTCTGGTAAAATCCTTCTTTCCAACTCCACACCAGATTTATTTTCATTTTCAAACTTTTAGTCTTCAGCCACAAATGAAGCTGACATAGATGACATCACTTAAAGCAACTTATCCTCTGGAGCCACAAAAGGCTTATACAACATTTCTCCCCACCATCATATCAATAAGAATATTTATCTCATACATCCCACAATACATTGCTGTCTTTCACTGTTAGTTGATACAAAACTCAACACATATAAATCAAAATCTTCATAATTAATTTTATTTGTCTAATTTGTCCCCCATCTCTTTATTGGAAGCACATCAGTTATTGGGCAGTGTAGACAGGAGAAATGATTAAAGCAAGCAAGACCTGAGCTGAACCTGCTACTCCCAAATGTCCCTTTAAGGAAGTGATAAGTAGAGTAGTCTAAATCACTTTCAAAGAATGCCTCAAATTAAGTTTAAAATTCTTTGACCTCACAAATATAGAGTACAAACACACATGCACAATGTGCTTAATGGTGGGATTTAATTTAGGTTCTTATGTAAACTCTATCCTCCAACCCTATATTTCATCTTCCACACCGAGAATTTATTATAGTTGTAATTTTATGTGTGACATTTATTGAGCTCTCAAGAAATCCACAAGATGTCGCTGTAAAGTTTCAAACAGTCCATCACAGTTATAATTCACTCTCTGCCACACCGACACAGACGAATTTCATATTTCCTTAATCTGTCACACACAGTCAGGGATTCATCTATATTTCATGGTCTTTCTCACATTCCGCTCTCTCTCGCTCTCTCTCTCTCTCAAACACACACACACACACACATATATATATATATATTTCATGCCTTTTTACTGTCGTACTTCTGAGTGTTCTGCTCAGCATAAATCTCATCAGTTGGCTTTAATCCAACCATTTTAAAGGGTGTGTGTGTGTGTGTGTGTGTGTGTGTGTGTATGTGTGGAGGGGATCACACAACATGTATACATATCAACATGGCATCAAATTACTCTATAATCCATTTACACATGGATTAAGGAAGACTGAAAGATGTACGTGGGTGTATAACTGTGTGGCCATGAATGCTTATGCTGCAGGATGTCAGTTCATCACACCCTACAATAAATATCCACACAATGCAGTTTTTCAGTTTGCCTGAGAGGAAATCGGTTGTCTTTTGTTATGACACAAATGATACAAATGGCCTTCAACAAGAAGAGAACTGGCGTGTATCATAGCAACTTTAGTTGTCTCTTCTCCCTGCTTTATTCTCTTCACCCAGAAGTCTCTTTTAAGGACTAAAGAAATGTTTCCATGCTGAATAAATAAAACTAATGTTTTTTTTCCAACACTCACAAAGCTCTTCTGAAGAGGACAGAACTGGAAAATGAACAGACTAAATGTGAAAAATACTGTTAAAATACTCCTGAACATGAAACACAGGGAGGTGTTCAGTTGTTTTACAATACAAGCTTTGAAAAGGTAGAGCAAATCATGTTATGTTGATTGCTTAGGTTTAATAAAATCTAGTCAAACCATTATCTAGTCTGGAGAACAGGTAGGCTGGATTTGGCTGGTGCTTAAAGTCACATTCAAACCTAAGTAAGCTTGTGATTGGCCAGTGACAGCCTGTTTTCCTGGAGCAGGTTCTCTTCCTCACCTGGCTTTAGTAATGCCATTCCAGCATTTATCCTGACCACTGCCTCCTGCTGCCAATTTGCTGCAAATTGCCACAGGGAGCTGCACCCAATACTGCCGCATCTCCCTCAGCTTACTGGACAGATCTGACACCTGAGAACAGAGACAATGTTTTTTGTTTTGCATGTCACAGATGAGTCTCAAGTTCCAAGTAACATTTAATACCCTTTCAAAATGTCAACAAATACTAAATACAAAAGAATTATGTAAATTTCACCTTTTTCTAACTTCACAAAGGCACTCAAATGCAACATATACAATAAAAACCCGGGATGTAGACGCCACATAAAAAACAAGTGGCAGCCAGAAATTCAGCTGTTTTCCATGAAATAATAAATAATTATAATAAAAAATTTTCATACAGAAAAAAATAATAACCATTTCCTCTCAATTCACTCTCAACATCTACACCTCAAACACCAAAGAGACATCCTGTACACTTACATCATATAAAATGTAAAATCAGATCAACAATCAGCTGTTATGACTTTTGTGGATAGACCTTCTCACATCCACATTGTTTCCTGTGCCCTTAAAATCATCTCTCCCCATTCAAAGAGTTAGACATATGCAAACATACAGTAGGCTATAAAGTACGTGCATGCACACACCTGCATCTCCAGTCTGAGACTAGCGGTCGGAGAGGGTTTGTACTCTGATGCGGTCAGGGAGCCGCTCTTCTTCTTCTGCTCATGAAGGGTGGGACTTCCTGTTCCTGGTTCACCTGGAGTTCCACACATCTGGTACACCTAAGCATTTACAAACACAACACACGTACTAGATGCTGTGAGCTGTCAAGTTTAACATCAAAAATCACAGCAGCACTACAAATACCTGGTTAGTCTATATTGTAACCTTTGTGAGAACTAAAAATATCCACTAGAGGTCACCATAGCCGAGTGTTTCAAAATGTGAAGATAGGTGCATGCTGGACTTAAAATAGAGCATGCTGGTTAGAAATTGTTTCCGACTTTCGCTGGCGCTGCAAAACGTCACCATGTCACATGACATTAAAACCTCTCGGGAACAAGGTGGCTGCAGGTGCTTTTTCCCGACCGCACCACCGGGCTGCTTGTTGCCATGTATGGGTACATGTACATGTTAATATAAACAGACATCAGCTGAGCTTGAAAATAAATTGCACTTAACAAAGTGTAAGAACAAAACAGCTTGGCTTAGAAAACAAGACCAAGACTCATTATAGCTGCACTCACTGCTTGTCCAATAAATGGACATTGATTTGTACAGGATACATCTATAAAATCAATAAAACCTTGTGGTGAGAAGTTGAGCCCATTTTCACTGGAGCACATTGTTGAGCTTTACCTAAGGTATCATCAAGATAAGTGCTCATTAAAAATAAGAATTCTCTCTCTGTATTATTTAGCTTATTCCTTGATGAGCAAATTGGACCAACAATCTGCAGAAGAGGTGAAAAGTGCAGGATTGCAGACATAAGCATGAGCTGGACTCGAACTGCTCCCAGGGAAATTTAGTAAGTGATTAGAAAAAAGTAAGAGGTTTTACTTTTGCTGTGAATGTGTCCATGTTTTCCTGTAGGATGTGAACAGCCTCATAGATTCGAGCCGGGATAGAGGAGAGAACCACATCGAGACTGGGCTCCGTGCTGAAACTAGAGACCACCTGGATCATGGTGTCTGAATGGAGAAAGTAGCAAAAGAGAAGAGAAATTTTTTTGATAAACGTAGCCAGTTTTTTGGGGGCCAAAAGATTTATTTTCTCCCATGACACTAAATCACAGTTTACCAGTACATAAGGTTTGCGTGATGTGGTAAGTATTAGTATTTAAAATCTATGTGTGTACTTTAAAATTATTGTAAGTAATACTAAAAATAAGCTGCTTCATTCAGTGCATGTTCATTGTTACACAGTAGGAAAAGAATATTCATCACATTGACTTTGAGACTTTCTCAGTCAAATTTAATTGAGGATCACAATTTTTTAAAGATCACGTTATTATTGACATTTATACACACATTTAAAAGCATGTATGGTTATTCCCGCAGTCTTTTCATCTGCTGCTGCATTCTTGTACTCAGTGGACCTCATGCGAGAACATTTCCGTATTCTTAGCCTAAATCTCTCGTACAGTAACTGGACAACCTTGTTGTAAATCACTTGTTTCAGCCTGATGAAAGCCAACTGTTCACGAGGAGGTGCACATTCTTGAGATTTGATCGTTAACATAATCAACGACCCTGAAATTGCCATATAAGGCTATCTGTTTCACTCTGTGTGTGGACAAGTTTCATTCATAAACATGTTACCAAAGAGTGAAAATACGCTTTCAGAAATCAATATTGCAGTATCAGTATAGTGTGGTATAATACAGCTGTCAGCAACAATCCATCAGAGTAGTGCTGTATTGTAACAGACATAAAGAGGGAATGATTTAGATTACATTAAGTAAGACACTAAATAACGTATTTCTAAGCAAAGCAGTTCATAACTATTATCAGAGGTGGTCTTGTGACAGTCGCAGAGATATTGGACAGGATGATATTATAGCCTTGGTGGGTTATTTTACATTGTCAGGTGCAACAGAGGATCATACTGGACAGCAACTTGCATAAAACCCCTCAGGCAGCTGTTCGAGTGAGAACTACTGTTCTGCTAAAATATGCAAACAAGATCATGAAATCTATAATAATGTGGGCAAGCCATGATGATAATGATAAGGTGAAAGGAATATTCTTATCGCATTAAGTTTGTCTTAGCTATATATTTTATTTTAGTTAATTTTGGAATTATATTTAAACTGTAAAATCCATCAGATTCAGCCATTATTATTTCAGGTCAAATGCGTGTTTTTCCCTTATGGAGAATCAATCAAATCATCAGAATTATCAAATCTGTTCGCATGAGTGGTTTGTGCATGAGGTCCAATGTCTATTCCAGCGATCGGTTCATCCATTAATGAGAACATCTGGATTATCTGTAGCTTTACTCTACAATGTCTTATGTGTCCTGAATATTACCTATAAGGTTCTGCCACTCTGGGTCCAGGTCAGCTTGGTTGGCCAGGCAGCCCTTCATGACGTTGGAACAGTAGTTGGAGCAGGGTTTGACGGAGGCCATGCCGCGACAGTGTGGGCAGTAAACCAGCTTCATCAGGGCCTTCATACACTCTGGACTTAGAGAAACCTGGGGAGGTTTAATACGACAGTCATCACCACAAACCTTGGAGCCAGTAGTGAAAAAAGTATATTCATATAGAGAGTCCTGTTTCTTCCTTTCACTCTTGATTGCACTGTGGTATCAAAACATTTCCCAGGGAATTTACTCCATGATGGCCATGTAAAACACAATACAAATAGCCCAAGCAAAAAAGAACAGTAGAGGGCAGTATTGCAACATTATAGGGAACACAACCTGAACAATAAAGCAATGATGGCCCTCTTTGTCTGTCTTTATACAGTACATGGTTTCTGTTACACTGTCAGCTTCTGAGTATGTACGCAAGTCATGAAAGGTGTCCAGTTCCACAGTGGAGTTATTTTACCACTACCCCTGCTCTGATGTGATGTAGGGTCACTCAAAACCAAAAGCAACTCAAAAGACGATGGCAGGTAGTTAAGGTACCTCAGCAGTATGTTTGCAAGATTCAAACTAAGTTTAAATGTAATATGATGAATGTGATTTGATTATGTCATCATGCAAAAATTTCGTCACAGATGATTTTCAGTTGTATTGTGTACAGTTTTAGATATTTGGATGCAATTTCCTACTGGCCTTCACACATTTATTTCTATGCAGTATGAAAGTCAGTCCACACACTCATGAAAGTTTCTTGAGTTGTATAATCCATCACTGTCAACATCAAGTCCGCATTAATTCGTGTCAGTGCTACCTTATTGTTGTGTAATAATGTGGTTTAGGTGCTGACGGATTTAAAAAGTCTGCACTCGTAACGATATTCTACCTTTGCCAAAAACTGATGCAGACATGAGATTCACTGTGATAGATTACACAACTCAAGTTAGTTTTGAGAATGCGCTCTGATTATTACATCCTATGGAAATGAGGAGAAATTTATGGAGGCCTGTAACTAAGGAACTATACAATACAATTTCTAAAACACAGCAGAATCTTGTGCAAATTGAATAGCTGTGAACTGAATACTGTGAATATGTGAGTTGTGGAAAATAGGTTAAAACACAAACAATCACTGGTATGGTCCTTTTAAATTGCAGAATTGAGATGAAGCTATGCAGTAAAATCTAGCATTTTTACTAGGGCATAAATAAAGAAAGAATGGTGGTCAAACATTAACAATAGCCTTTTCACAGCAAAACACATAGAAGAAACAATCACACAGTCACATCAGACACAGACACTTTGAATGCTGGGAAAAATTGCATCGAGAGCTGAAAAAACATCATCACACCCATAATTTGACAAGAGCGTTTTCATCCCTCTAAATAAGAGCTTTGTTCTGATGGCAAGTCTGACACTTCATTTTTGATGATCTTTGTGCTTTCCAATTTTTAGGGTGGAGATATTTTCTCTGACAGTTAGGGTGTGACGACCATGCATCCATCATATCTGCTTTCCTGGGACACAGCCCAGCAGGTCTTAGTCTCACACACACACACACACACACACACCAAATCATCCTGCCTCTCTCTCTGCCTCACGGTGTCTCTCCCTACGTCTCATGTAAACACACACACACACACACACACACACACACACACACACACACACACACACCAAGTCATCCTGTCTCTCTCTCTGCCTCACGGTGTCTCTCCCTACGTCTCATGTACACACACACACACAAACACACACACACACACACACACCAAATCATCCTGTCTCTCTCTCTGCCTCACGGTGTCTCTCCCTACGTCTCATGTACACACACACATACACGCACGCACACACACAGACTCACACTCACACTCACCTGTGAGACCTTCCTGACCACCTCTCCACTGACTATCAGCCCCTGGACAAACGATCTGGCTGTGACAAAAGCTCGGATCACCTTCGCCTTCATGTCCCGGGGGACATCTCCAAATGGCCGCAGCGTCTCCTGTTGCTTAGCAACACATTCAAGGTAGTCATCTGACATGTTGACCTGCCAGACAGAGGTGACGGGGGAAAAATGCAGAAGTATGTTGTTATCTTTTGGCCAGTTTTGCATATTAGATAGCATGCGGTATATATCTGACAGTAAAGGGAGCGGGGGGGGGGGGGTTTGTAGATTGACTTTCTGCGTTTCCAAGAGCTCTGACTCAGAAGCTGCACTCCATCGATGAAGATTATGCTGAAGTTGTGGCCATTTTCTTTAAAAATCATGACATAGTTGTTATCAAACAAATGGATATTATACCACGTAGACTTCTCCTGGTCAGTTATTTTTATTTATTATTATTATTTTAATAAATAGATTATTAATGTCTCTACTGCACATGAGAAAACAAGGGACATGCAGTTACTCAGTGATTATTTAGTAGTTAAAAGTGTCCTGTGTGGTTGAATGAAAAAAAATGTTAAATGCCTGAGTAATGTTGACTTATTGCAGTTTTTCTCAATTGCTTAAACACTATAACCAGGCTTTTGAACTAAAATTTCAAAACCATAACTCTTCAAAAAGCACACCCATTTCCCTAAACTCTACACACAAATCCCTTCATTTCTCATTGCCTACACCATTGAGAAAACACTAACATTCAATATTGTTCACTCAATCAGCATAGGTTGAGCTCAATTAGCACGCAACTAAGGAGAAGGCGGAAGATGAGGAGGAGGAGGAAGAGCAGTGTGGAGAGAAGTAAGAGGTGAAGGAAGAAGAACAGTAGGAGTTGGAGGAGGAGATGGGATAGGAGTAAGATGAGGAGTAGGAGGAGGCGGACAAGGAGGAGGGCAGAGGACGGAGGAGGAGGAGAAGAAGGTTGAGGAGGTAGAGGGAAGAGGAGTAGGGAGGAGGAGGAGGGAAACGGAGGAGTAGGGAGAGGAGGAGGTGGAGAACAAAAATGATGGGATGCTGGGGCAGAATAATTTGTTGTTTGGTGTGTTGAACTATATAGCACACTAAGAAATCAAAAATGTGCAAATGTTTACATTTGTTATTTCTTTTGCTGTGTTCATCATGTGAAAAGGTTTTTGAGGGGGGGAACCACAAGCAACATTACTACTAACCAGTTTTTGTAGTATTGTTTTGAATTTCTCTCACCAGTGTGTAAAACTGTGTTGTAGTGAGTGTGTTTTTGAGGGCTTGTGTGTTATGTCTGAGGGCAAAGTTTGGTTTTTCAGCAAGATTGAATGGTTTTGAGTGGAGAGCTTCATTTTGACCTGAAATTAGGATGTTAGGGGGAACTGGGTGAGAAGTTGTGAATTTTTGTTTAGAGTTTCAAGAAAAATAGGCATAATTTCAAGAAATAGTCAAGAAAAAAAAAGTACAATTGAAAGAGATCATGTAGCAAAGGTACCAGGCCAGACTCAAGTCCAGGACATTGTGATTAAATGAACAGCCTCTTAAACCACAGGGCACCTGGGAGAAGTATGTAATTAACATAACATAAAAATCACTATATGTGTAATAATAGATGAAAAACAATGCTGTAAAAGTGATGTATCTAAAAATGTAAATTTCATTGGCTTTTCACATTGTGCAAATGTTTAACACATTGTCTTTATGAGCCAGAAGAAACAGGAGCTGAAGAAGAGTAAGTTCAGCTAGCAGCTGAACGGATCAAGAGAACTAGTTCACAAAATCCTTCACTGGTTTCGATTCAAATTCAAGTATTCCATTCAAATTACATTTTGTATAATTCACATGATTGTTATTGGGGTATTATTAAACAATAAACACATTAAAAATCCCACCTTTTTAATTCATAACATTGCTCGTTTCATCATTCTGTACTCCAGTCTCAAATTCAAAAATTGTGGCCTTCTAGTTGAACTTTCTTTACTCACATCGGTTGGAGTGGAGATTTTAAAGGTGCGCTCCAAGAGGCGGGACCAGAACTCAGACAGGGTCTCGTCCAGGTTTAGAGCAGAGCCTCGGTAGTACTGCCGCAAGTCGGTGTAGAGATCCCCATAGAGACGAGTGTTCTGGGAATACAGAGGGCCGAGTGGAGACAGCACCTCTTGGAGAGAGCGCTCAGAATTACCGTGCAGCTCAGTGAAAAAGGCTGGAGGAGGAGAGAAGCGAGACAAGGGGAGACAATAGACAAAGAAAAGATAGGAGAAGAAGAGTTGACAAGCAGAGAAGGAAAAGGAGGACAAGAGAAGAAAACAATAATGACCGAGATGAGCTGAGTTCTACATCTTTTGGTAAATGATGACAACTTTAATTAGGAAGGCTGAATGGAAACTGCAATATTTGATAATACTTAAAGCAACAATATATATATATTTTTATGTGATTTAGTGAAGATTGTCCACAACAAGCTGAACATCTACACAATTGTAACATATCATGGTCTTGTAAAGTTGATTTAGCTAACATGTAAGTAGTTTTATAGAAAAAGTATCCAGTTGATAGCAAATAACATGTTTATGGTGAAGAATGAATGAATAAGGAATTAGTTTGTTTCCTCGGGCCAATCCATCCGGACAGTTACATGTCTGCCCATCGTGATCGCCCAAAAATTTATTTTTAAAGGTTTCTTTGAAATTGTCTTTGCAGCCAGATGGATCCGAAGTGATAGAAAGCTCAAACAGAAAGAATAAGGAGTCAGCTAGCTGTTTCTGCAGTATACTGGTCTGGGCTTTTCCCTTGTGCTTCAAAGGCTCTGGACCAGTGCCAGCCTGTTCAAACCAAAACCAGATGGGCGGTCACATTACTGCTACTGAGGTGGCCTGCTGCCTTGAGACTAATAATACTGTCCGCCTCCTCCTCCTCTGACTAGTCCTCCTACTGCTCTCTGTTTCTCTTCATTCTTTTTTCTGTCTTCTATGTTCCATTTTTACTTTGACTCACTGTACTAATGACACATTTCTCACTCGCTGCATTTGTCTATCTCCCTTTAGTTAACGGTGGCACAGTCTTTCTTTCTTTTCCTCCTCTCTCCATCCCTCTCTTTCTCTGATGTGCAGTGATCTGCGGACTCAACTCCTCAGTGGGTCAACTGCTCATTAGCTGAACCAGCCACTGCCCCAGGGGACACCCCTCTCTTTGTGTGTATGTGTGTGAACGTATGCAAGTGTGTGTGGGAGTGCGCGTTTGTGTGTGTGTGTGTGCCCCTTTCAGATCAGGGGATCGGCTTATCACGTTTCATTGTGTCTGGCTGACTCTGCTCTCATTATAACACCCAGTCAGGGGTCCCCTTGACGCACAGGACACAAACACATCCTGTCTCACACACACACACACACACACACACACACGCGTACCTATCCAACAGTGCACCGTCGGAGTAAACTGCCAAGTGTGGACCTGTGTTTCCAGTCCTTTTGAAGTAAATAAATATAATACAAAATTTACTTTTACTGTCTTTTAACATAATATTACTGCAAATTTGCTTTTTTTTGCTTTTTAAAGAAATTGCCAAGAGGGGACTTAGATCCTTAAACGATAGCTACCTATCCAAGAGGGGACCTCCATTGTTATGCAGTGGAACTGTCTGTGCTCATTCTCACCTAATGACTGTTTTTACCTTCAAAGACTTTCTTTGTTTCTTTCAAAAATGGATAATTTAACTTTAATGTGAGCAATGTGAAAACATTTCACCGTGATCCAAACTTTAATCACTTTAACTGAAAATAAATAAACTTTAAACTTTAATTCAGAAGTAACTTTGCTGCATGCATTGATATCAAGCACTACAGTATTACCAACAAAAATTACTTGATCTAGGTTTCAAATACCGTTTAAATAATAATAAAATATCTTATTACACTAGTGCACTTATTTTAATTTTCTCTTAGGGGAATTCATATTCTTCTGTGTGGGATGGTCATTTTTATGACCTGTGATGTATGCATTTTAAAGAGTTACTTTGTATTTGCTCTTAATAACTGAATCTTAGACTGGTTTTGAATCAAAAACAATAATACTTATGAGAAAAATATAATCTCAACTAAGCAGTCTGTTGACACATGATTTGATAATATGCTTTTGAAACAAAACTTAAAGGCTCAGCAATAGTAGATTTCCTAACTAGTATTAAGCTTCAGACTGTAAGATAAAAGGCTACCCAAATAAAATGATGTCCTGATGGGTTTTCATCAGGAATGCATGGTATTTTCATGTTTGCATTAGGCCTACAGAAAAAAGGTCCACACTTGTATGGCATTTAATGACATGAGTCCACTGTTGGTTGCTACATAACGACACATGTCCCCTCTTAGATAGTATGGAGCAACAGTCACACTCCAACATCCAGCATCAATAATTATTCCGCATGATTTGTTATGTTTTTGTAATGAAATATAAAGTCTCAGCTTTAATGGATGGCTTAAACATTTTCACTCTTGACACTGTATTATAATGAAGGGCTGCCCACAAGTTTGGGGAGTCATAAGTAAAACTTTACCAACTTAAACCTTCAAGAGCCTGAAGTTTGATCCTCCACCTGAGAAGCTGCTGTCCTTTGCTAAGAAATGTGTAACCCACATTACCCATGAGAAAAAGACTATTACCGATGACATGACATCCAGAGGCAAAGTCGATCCCTTGTTGAAGTGTGGAATGAAAATGCTGGTTTAGTTACAGACTTGCAAGCTTAGATGTACCTGTGTACTTTATGGACAAGCCCTAATATAAAGGGCTACCCAAATTAATTCATGAAGCATTAATGTCCTGATGAGTTTTCATCAGGAATGCATAATATTTACTGGTCCGCATTGCCTACAGAAAAAAAGGTCCACACTTGTATGGCATTAAATGACAGGAATCCACTGTTGGTTGCTACATAACGACACATGTCCCCTCTTAGATAGTATGGAGCAACAGTCACACTCCAACATCATTAAATATTCCTCAAGCATGATTTGTTATTATTGTTTTGTAATGAAATATGATGTCTCAGCTTTAGTTGATGGCTTAACCATTTTCAATCTTGACACTGCATCAAAATGAAGGGCTGCCCACAAGTCAGGAGAGTCATAAGTACTTTAAGATAAATAAATAAAAAGTAGGAACAACATGGTCAGCAGCAAGATACTTTGTATTAATTTTTTATTAATTGCTAAAAACATATTTATTAAGTTTTACTAGACCTTTGAAATGGTTTAGCCCCCAAATCTTCCAAATATGATATTGACCAATTAGGACATGATTTTAATCAATTTTACAATGTACTTGTTTCTTTAATCTATATTTATAGGTGTGCATTTTGTTTGTTGATTTGCATTACAGAAATGTCCACTGTTGGCTGGTATATAATGACACAAGTTCCCTCTTAGATAGCATGAATCGACACTCACACTGCAACATGGATGAGTAAAAAAGAAATGTATGATTCTTAAAAGAAAATTATAATGTAACCTAAATAGAATCTTTAGTTATACTTGTAAATAAGGTCTATTGTTATGTAACAAGTAATAGTTTCCAAATAACTCTCAATTAAGTCTTTTCCAACTCATAATATGTTCTTCATTCAAAAGTATTGCTCATAACTAGTTCACTGGTATTTGACGCTTTTTGACCCACACACATTCCCTATTCTGAACTTGCCTCCTTTCTCCAAACAAAACATTAAAGCACAAAACTTTACCAACTTAAAAATTCAAGAGCCTGAAGTTTGATCCTCCACCTGAGAAGCTGCTGTCCTTTGCTAAGAAATGTGTAACCCACATTACCCATGACAAAAAGACTATTACCGATGACACATTAAATGACAGGAATCCACTGTTGCTACATAGGGCACATGTCCCCTCTTAGATCCTATGGAGCAACAGTCACACTCCAACATCATTAAATATTCCTCAAGCATGATAAATAAATTTCAATTAGGAAGTAAATGTTCAGCAGGAAGATTCTTAATGTTCTTTTTTTATTTGCTAAAAACAGATTTATTATGAACTTTCACCAGCCCTTTGAAAGGATTTAGCCCCCCAATTTTCCCAGTATATTGACCAATTATGACAATCACAGGATTTCAATCAATTTTACAATGTACATGTATCTTTAATCTGTATGTAACGGAATGCATTTTGTTTGTTGTTTTGCATTACAAAAATGTCCACTGTTGGCTGGTACATAATGACACAAGTTCCCTCTTAGATAGCATGGATTGACACTCACACTCCAGCATGAATAAATAAAAAAGAAATTGATAATTTCTAAGAGAAACTTATAATTTAAACTAAATATAATCTGTGGTTACTTGGGGTTTGAAGAGACACTAAGTTTACAAGACTAGGCGAGACACAATATTGGGTGCAAGTGTGAAATGTTAAGTAGTTCAAGTTCAAAGGCCTAACGATCATCATTGGTCGCAAGAAACCCTCCCCCACACTGCAGACAATCAGACACAGATTCTCACTGCAGACAATCAGACACACGTTCACACCCCTCACCTGCTCCAGGTCACCTCTCAGAGACAGCACTCACACTTTCTCCAGGATTTTGTATTTAGCTTAACTCTGCATTGGATGCTAATTCATAACAGTTTCCTACAACCACAAAAAGAAAACGGTAGAAATATATGTAGACATATGTTTAGTAAAAGTGCCCAAACACCCAATTCTAATAAAAATCTGATGATGGTACAGCCAAAGAGAGAAAATAAATACAGGAGAGAGGAGATGCATGCTAATAAGCCACAGGTTTGAACTGGGCCACTGCAGTAAGAACTCATTTGTGTATGGTGCACATGCTCCTGAAGACACACGCTCATAAACTGAAAGTTTCTTGCTCTCTTTCTCTTAACTTTGACCCTCAATTTACTGTATACTGCACTATAATGGCCACTCTACATTTTGGGTTTCAACAATACGCTTAAAAGAAATGTATGCCAGTTTGTATAGCATATTTACAATATTGGTAAGCCTGAGAGAAGTTCTCACCACTGTTAAATTATAGTATCCCTGACACAAGTGGCATGTAACACAAAATAAATTAAACACTCAATAAACACAATTAAGGCAAATAAAACAGAAGCCTTTTAACTACATAGCCTAAATACCTATGGTAGAAGCACAAAAAGCAAGGACAAATGACCAAATAATAAAAATCTGAGCAAGA